GCAGGTGGTGGAGCGGGTTAAGGCGTACCTGTTATGCCAGTTGCTGGAAGGCTTCTGTGCTGGCTAGGGTTCAAGTCTCCTGGTGGGAAAGTGTTCTAAAGTTGTATACCTCACTCTCGTGTTTAGGAGAGTTGTGCCTTAAGCATAGACACTGTGTCTTCCCATATTAACAGGGACTTGATGAAATTAACGTCTAAATGACCCCTCACTTGCTCTAGTGCTCTTGGGAGGTGGTGATCTTTGGTGTATTTAAATACTCCGAAATTACCATCTCTTTTAAGGGTCTGAGCAGGTGGTGGAGCGGGTAAAGGCGTACCTGTTATGCCAGTTGCTGGAAGGCTTCTGTGCTGGCTAGGGTTCGAGTCTCCTGGTGGGAAAGTGTTCTAAAGTTGTATACTTCACTCTCGTGTTTAGGAGAGTTGTGCCTTAAGCATAGACACTGTGTCTTCCCATATTAACAGGGACTTGATGAAATTAACGTCTAAATGACCCCTCACTTGCTCTAGTGCTCTTGGGAGGTGGTGATCTTTGGTGTATTTAAATACTCCGAAATTACCATCTCTTTTAAGGGTCTGAGCAGGTGGTGGAGCGGGTTAAGGCGTACCTGTTATGCCAGTTGCTGGAAGGCTTCTGTGCTGGCTAGGGTTCGAGTCTCCTGGTGGGAAAGTGTTCTAAAGTTGTATACTTCACTCTCGTGTTTACGAGAGTTGTGCCTTAAGCATAGACACTGTGTCTTCCCATATTAACAGGGACTTGATGAAATTAACGTCTAAATGACCCCTCACTTGCTCTAGTGCTCTTGGGAGGTGGTGATCTTTGGTGTATTTAAATACTCCGAAATTACCATCTCTTTTAAGGGTCTGAGCAGGTGGTGGAGCGGGTTAAGGCGTACCTGTTATGCCAGTTGCTGGAAGGCTTCTGTGCTGGCTAGGGTTCGAGTCTCCTGAGCAGGTGGTGGAAAGTGTTCTAAAGTTGTATATATATATATATATATATATATATATATATATATATATATATATATATATATATATATATATATATATATATATATATTTTAACATGTCTATATTGTGCTTGTTTAAGTCTGTTGAAATATTTAGTTATTTTGCAGTTGCAGCTTTTGTACGTGTAATTGATAAATACAAAAGCATTGTTTTTTCTGCACAGTATTTTTCCACACAGTTATTTGTATATTAATATATATATTATTGTTTCAGAGGTTATGTTACCTACCTTTACTATTAATATTTATAATAATTGATGTTGTGTTGAGCGCGCGCGCGCGCGGGCCTGCCCGCCTGCCTGCCAGCGTGCAAAGCATCACACTGTACAGGACGAACTAACAAAGTGTGTGTGTACACAGGTGTTGTGTTGCAGGTGGAGCGGTAAACACAGGTGTTGTGTTGCATGTGGAGCGGTAAACACAGGTGTTGTGTTGCAGGTGGAGCGGTAAACACAGGTGTCGTGTTGCAGGTGGAGCGGTAAACACAGGTGTTGTGTTGCAGGTGGAGCGGTAAACACAGGTGTTGTTTTGCAGGTGGAGCGGTAAACACAGGTGTTGTGTTGCAGGTGGAGCGGTAAACACAGGTGTTGTGTTGCAGGTGGAGCGGTAAACACAGGTGTCGTGTTGCAGGTGGAGCGGTAAACACAGGTGTCGTGTTGCAGGTGGAGCGGTAAACACAGGTGTTGTGTTGCAGGTGGAGCGGTAAACACAGGTGTTGTGTTGCAGGTGGAGCGGTAAACACAGGTGTTGTGTTGCAGGTGGAGCGGTAAACACAGGTGTTGTGTTGCAGGTGGAGCGGTAAACACAGGTGTCGTGTTGCAGGTGGAGCGGTAAACACAGGTGTTGTGTTGCAGGATGAGCGGTAAACACAGGTGTTGTGTTGCAGGTAGAGCGGTAAACACAGGTGTCGTGTTGCAGGTGGAGCGGTAAACACAGGTGTTGTGTTGCAGGTGGAGCGGTAAACACAGGTGTTGTGTTGCAGGTAGAGCGGTAAACACAGGTGTCGTGTTGCAGGTGGTGTGGTAAACACAGGTGTTGTGTTGCAGGTGGTGTGGTAAACACAGGTGTTGTGTTGCAGGTGGTGTGGTAAACACAGGTGTTGTGTTGCAGGTGGTGTGGTAAACACAGGTGTTGTGTTGCAGGTGGTGTGGTAAACACAGGTGTTGTGTTGCAGGTGGTGTGGTAAACACAGGTGTTGTGTTGCAGGTGGAGTGGTAAACACAGGTGTTGTGTTGCAGGTGGAGTGGTAAACACAGGTGTTGTGTTGCAGGTGGTGTGGTAAACACAGGTGTTGTGTTGCAGGTGGTGTGGTAAACACAGGTGTTGTGTTGCAGGTGGTGTGGTAAACACAGGTGTTGTGTTGCAGGTGGAGTGGTAAACACAAGTGTTGTGTTGCAGGTGGAGTGGTAAACACAGGTGTTGTGTTGCAGGTGGAGTGGTAAACACAGGTGTTGTGTTGCAGGTGGAGTGGTAAACACAGGTGTCGTGTTGCAGGTACCAGTGGGTGAGCTCGGCGTGGGGGCCGTGCGTGGCCTCCGTGGGCCATGACGAGGCGGTCGTGCTGTGTGGCGGAGGCGTGCAGGCACGTGAGCTCACGTGCGTCCGTGCCTCAGACCACGTGCCCGTACCTGATGAGCTGTGTGTGCACGTGGAGCCGCCTCCCCGCGTCCAGAGGTGAGTACTCTTGTGTGACTGACACACACACACACACACACACACACACACACACACACACACACACACACACACACACACACACACACACACACACACACACACACTGGGATTTCAAATAAAACAAGTGAACTCGGAGAATGTTCACTAGAAGAAAACCCAGACATAATAGCACTCACAGAAACAAAGTTAACGAAAATCATAACAAACGCAATGTTTCCACAGGGCTACTATGTAGTGAGGAAAGAGAGAGAGAAGGGAGAGGAGAAGGTGGTGTATCTCTGCTACTAAGAGAAGGTTGGAGTTTGGAAGAGATGGTAATTCAGAACTGTGAAGGTTTCAGTGACTACATTTCAGGCACCATAGCAACTGGAGGATAGAAAATTATAATAGTAGTCATATATAACCCCCCACCGAATGACAGAAGACCCAGACAGGAATATGATAGAAACAACTTGGCCACCATCAATATAACAGAGAGAGCAGCTTCTGCGGCTAACAGGAACGGATCCAGACTTCTAATCATGGGAGACTTCAACCATGGGAAGGTAGATTGGGGGAACAGAGACCCACATGGAGGCCCAGACACATGGAGAGCTAAGCTGCTGGATGTGGCAACAAGAAACTTTCTAAGTCAACACGTCAAGGGACCGAAAAGAATGAGAGGAGGGGATGAACCAGCCTTTCTTGATCTGATATTTACCCTAAATGAGTCGGATATAAGGGAAGTTAAGTTGGATGCCCCCTTGGGAATGATTGATCATAGTGTATTGAGCTTTGAGCACCTGGTTGAGCTGGGAATTATCGCCCCCAAAAAAGAACTGGGAACCAAAGGGCTGGCGTACCGAAAGGAAAACTATGAGGAAATGAATAAATTCCTATGGGATATACATTGGGACACAGAACTCGGAACCAAGTCCGCACAAGACATGATGGACTATGTCACCCAAAAATGCCAGGAGGCTGTAAGCAGGTTTGTCCGAGCCCGACAGGAAAAAACAGAGAAGCAAAGGAAGAATCCGTGGTTTAATAATGAATGTATGAAAGCAAAGGAACAGAACAAAAGGGCATGGAGGAACTTCCGTAATAACAGAACACCAGAAAGTAGAGAGAGATACCAGAGAACCAGGAACGAGTATGTCAGTGTGAGAAGAGCAGCTGAGAAAAGGTATGAAAATGATATAGCTAATAAAGCCAAGACCGAACCCAAGCTACTACACAGTCACATCAGGAGGAAGACAACAGTGAAGGAACAGGTGATGAAACTTAGGGTGGGCGAGGACAGGTACACAGCGAATGACAAAGAGGTGTGTGAAGAACTCAACAAAAGGTTCCAGGAGGTCTTTACAATAGAACAGGGAAATGTCGCGGCGCTAGAAGAGGTGGCAGCAAACCAGGTGAACTTGGATCGGTTCGAAATTACAAGAGATGAGGTCAAGAAGCACCTATTGGAGCTGGATGTGAGAAAAGCTGTTGGGCTGGATGGAATCTCGCCATGGGTATTGAAAGAGTGTGCAGGAGCACTTTGCCTACCACTCTCCATAGTGTATAGTAGGTCACTGGAAACGGGGGACCTACCAGAAATATGGAAGACTGCTAATGTAGTACCAATATACAAAAAGGGTGACAGACAAGAGGCACTGAACTACAGGCCAGTGTCCTTAACTTGTATACCATGCAAGGTGATGGAGAAGATTGTGAGAAAAAACATGGTAGCACATCTGGAGAGAAGGGACTTCGTAACAAATCGCCAACATGGGTTCAGGGAGGGTAAATCTTGCCTGACTGGCTTAATAGAATTCTACGACCAGGTGAAACAGATTAAGCAAGAAAGAGAGGGCTGGGTGGACTGCATTTTCTTGGATTGTCAGAAAGCCTTTGACACAGTACCGCATAAGAGGCTGGTACATTAGCTGGAGAGACAGGCAGGTGAAGCTGGTAAGGTGCTCCAGTGGATAAGGGAGTACCTAAACAGTAGGAAGCAGAGAGTTACGGTGATTGGTGAGACCTCTGATTGGCGTGAAGTCATCAGTGGAGTCCCACACGGCTCTGTACTCGGTCCTATCTTGTTTCTGATATATGTAAATGATCTCCCGGAGGGTATAGATTCATTTCTCTCAATATTTGCGGACTATGACAAAATTATGAGAAGGATTAAGACAGAAGAGGACTGTTTGATGCTTCAAGAAGGCCTAGACAAGCTGCAGGAATGGTCGAACAAATGGCTGTTAGAGTTTAACCCAAGCAAATGTAATGTAATGAAGATAGGAGTAGGAAGCAGGACACCAGATACAAGGTATCAATTGGGAGATGAGATACTTCAAGAGTCAGAGAGAGAGAGAAAGACCTGGGGGTTGATATCACGCCAGACCTGTCCCCTGAAGCTCATATCAAGAGGATAACATCAGCAGCATATGCCAGGTTGGCTAACATAAGAACGGCCTTTAGAAACTTGTGCAAGGAATCTTTCAGAACATTATATACCACATATGTCAGACCAATCCTGGAGTATGCGGCTCCAGCATGGAGTCCATATCTAGTCAAACGTAAGACTAAACTGGAAAAGGTTCAAAGGTTTGCCACCAGACTAGTACCCGAGCTGAGAGGTATGAGCTACGAGGAGAAACTACGGGAATTAAACCTCACTTCGTTGGAAGACAGAAGAGTTAGGGGGACATGATCACCACATTCAAGATTCTCAAGGGAATCGACAGGGTTGATAAAGACAAGCTGTTTAACACAAGGGGCACACGCACTAGGGGACACAGGTGGAAACTGAGTGCCCAAATTTGCCACAGAGATATTAGAAAGAACTTTTTTAGTGTCAGAGTGGTTGACAAATGGAATGCATTAGGAAGCGATGTGGTGGAGTTTGACTCCATACACAGTTTCAAGTGTAGATATGATAGAGCCCAATAGGCTCAGGAACCTGTACACCTGTTGATTGACGGTTGAGAGGCGGGACATAAGAGCCAGAGCTCAACCCCCTCAAGAACAACTAGGTGAGTACAACTAGGTGAGCACACACACACACGCACGCACACACACACACACACACACACACACACACACACACACACACACACACACACACACACACACACACACACACACACACACACGCACACACACACACACACACACACACACACACACACACACACACACACACGTACGTGTGTGCTCGCGCCTCGCGGCACACTTATTTGGTAAGGGGTATCGCGGCTGAGTGGACAGCGCTCTGGGGTCGTAGTACTAAGAGCCCGGGTTCGATCCCAGGCAGAGGTGCTTCGAAAATGTGGAACTGAGCTGAGTATTCCACTCCAAATAATGTTCCAGACTTCCTTTGTGCACAGGAATCTTAGCAAATATATGGAAAAAGGCAAACATAGTACCAATCAATAAAATGGTAGCAGAGAAGACCCCTTAAATTATAGACCCCTACCTCTAACAAGCATGGTAGTCAAAATACTAGAAACTATAGTTAAAGCCAAATAGGTTGATCACCTGGAGAGTAATGTCATAATAACGGACAGAAAGAATGGTTTTCGAACAGGAAGATCCTGTGTAGCAAATTTACTTAGTTTTTATGATTAAGCCACAGAGATACTACAGGAAAGAGGTGGTTGGGTTGACTGTGTCTATCTGGACCTATATAAGGCTTATGACAGTCCAACACAAAAGTCTGTTTCTGGAAACTGGAACTTGCTGGAGTGGTGACAGGGAGACTTCTGACATGGATGAACCATTTTCTAACTGACAGACAGATGAGGACAGTAATCAGAGATAATGTATCTGACTGGACGAGTGTTACTAGCGGAGTACCAAAGGGTTCAGTTCTTGAACCAGTAATGTTCATCGTCTGCATAAACGATCTACCAAAAGGAATACAGAATTATGTTAACATGTTTGCGGGTGATGCTAAGATACTGGGGAAGATAGGAGACGCAGACGATTGTAATGCCCTTTAAATCGATCTAGATAAAATAAGTGCTTGGAACAACAATTGGGAAATGGAATTCAACGCAAATAAATGCCATGTTATGGAATGTGGAATCAGAGAAAATTGACCACACACAACTTACAAATTATGTGGAAAGGAATTATTACAGAATTTTAATATAGAACGTGCCCTGGAGTAGTTTTGGATATAAGCTGTCGCCAGAGGAACACATAAAGAACATTGTGAGAGGAGCGTATGCGTCGCTTGCCAACTTCAGACTTGCTTTTAACTGCATGGATGGTGAAATACTAAAGAAACTGTCCATGACATTTGTGAGACCAAAACTGGAATATGCAGCAATTGTATGGTGCCCAAATCTCAAGAAGAACATAAATAAACTGGAAAATGTGCCACGGCATGCTACACAATGACTTCTGCAACTGTAAAACAAGAGTAACAAGGAGAGACTAGAGGTGTTAAACATGTCAGAACTAGAAGATAGCAGAAAAAGAGGTGATATGATCACCACTTACAAAATACTAGCAGGAATCGACCAAATTGACAAAGAGGAATTCCTGAAACCAACAAGTTCACGAACAAGAGAATACAAATTCAAGCTAAGAAACCAATGGTGCCGAAAAATATTAGAACGCTTTCTTTTGCAAACAGAGTGGTAGACGGTTGGAACAAGCTAAGTGAGGTGGTGGAGGCCAAAACTGTCAGTAGTTTCTAAGCGTTATACGACAAAGAGTACTGGGAAGACAGGACACCACGAGCGTAGCTCTCATACTGTAACTACACTTAGGTAATTACACTTAAGTAATTACACACACAAACACAGGCCCTAGCAAACAGCACTCGGGAGCCGAAACACAAATGGCCGTGTTTCGATTTCCGGGGAGTGAGCAACATATGGATAGTTTCTTTCACTTGATGCGTCTGTTCACCCAACAATAAATGTGCACCTTGTAATTAAACAGCTGCTAGGAGAGCATCCTGGTGATGAGTGAGAAAATTATTTGTAGTAGATATAGAGAAAATGATGTCGGGAGTTAGC